CACACACACACACACACACACACACACACACACACACGCACAAACACACAAACCCTTTTTGTCATGAATAATAGACTTAAAGAAGCCGGAGCTAACTCTGGCTGACATTTTTTTTCACATTAGCCCAAGTAGTCCTGCCCACTGAGTGCTGTTTATTTCAGCTCCTCTCCACTTCAGTTGTGTCATAAAAACCTGCTTTTACTGCTTTCACTGACTTTAAAGTCATATTCCTCTTAAAAACATTTGCTGCCTTTTTTGATTATCTTTTTTTTAAACCTTTCAAATGTATAGAAGAAAGCATCAGTGATTAGGAAGCCTCCTGTTCGTGTCAGTTAAGTCTTTGATATGAAACGTTTGTGTTGTCAAAGACAGCAGATTTTTTTTAATTAGGAAGAAAAAAAACGGGCTTCAGAGAACATTTTTTACCAGGTAATTGGACTTATATGAGAAAACACCACATCAGACACGTTATAATAGGCAACAGTCTATATTGTTTAATCAACTTTATTTCCCTTATTGAGTTGTCAAAAAAAATAGACTGTCAAACACAAATTGCTAATAATTACCAGTATGTGACATTATCAATACCAATAACGTCATTTAAATTGTTATCAGGGCTGTAGACTGAAAGTGTTTGAATCACATTCAACACATTTTCCTTTTTTTTTGCATTTCGAAGATCAAAGAGAACAACTACTGATAATCCCACCACCGATTGGTTTCTCTTTTTAATCATTTGTCAAAAGCTTTATTTGTATTTTGTTATTAGCTGAAATATTTCTCCTGACAAATGATTTTGGGCCATTTGGGAGCTTTTTCAAATAGTGGCATGCACTGGATTGTTGTAGACAAAAAAACAACATACAAATGGTGGAGCTTTGTCTTTTTTAACTTCAAAATAAAAGCAATATTTCTCAATAAATACTACAATTTCACTCTTGCTATGAGCGTACACACTTGTATGGCTTTTTATGATTCTAGTTCTGTTCGAGCATCAGCAACAAGTCAAAGTGATAATAAGAAATTGATCCGTGGATGATGGAGAGGTGGCTTATCTTTTGACTATCACTTTGTCCTTCACCATCGATTTCTCTCGAGGCTGCCTTTCTTTGCAGTAATGCTGTCAGTGGTTGTAAATGACCACTTGAAGAAAGCCTCATGGTTTTGTTCATGCATGTCCGCATCATGTCATTGCTGTTTGATCATTCCTTGGATCACTTGACTGAGCTGACCTGATGCTTCAGATTCATAGTATTTGTCCAAAGTTTTGTGCGTTAAGTTTTCTGAGCTGTTAGTTGTAAGAAACAGACAGACATGACCACAATTCTTTCCTTTTCTAGAGAGATTGAAAGACCCAGAGTTGAATTTCCGTTTTACTTTTTGCTCCTGTTGCTTTTTAGTCTGAGATTTTGTTGCTCTGTTTGGACAACCTGTGGTTCTATTATGCTTCAGTAGATCATTACTCACTATTATAATCTTTTGGACCCTTTTATGGTTCATGGTAAGAACTGGAAGTCTTGGGTGAAAATATCACAAGCTTCCCATTCATTAGTTTCCACCTGAGATTAAATAAATTACATTTATCATAATTATAACAGAGCTCACCTCCGTGTTTTATATCCAAATTAATGCAGAAATCATTCATTTTATAATACTTGTAGTGGTTAGAAGAGAAAAAACAAAACGAGTCAGACTTTTTTGCAATAAGTTTTACAATAAATAATTCCTTCATAATAATCCAGTTTCTTTAAGTTTAATATCTTGTAAGATAGAACATTATTTTGTGTAGTTGCATTCGAATGTGCCACAGTTCATCAGTGCATTTGACCCATTAGAATGTTGCTCTAAGAATTGTTCACACTTAGACTTCAAATTGACTAAATACTGTAGCTTTGTGGCAAATGTTCTGCTGGAGTTCCACATCATCTTTACCCTGAAAACCAGGTGTTCCCACAAGTTTAGGATTCTGACACCCAATAATGTCAAAGATTTATGACCCCAAAAATTATTGGTTAAAATACACAAACATTTAAAACTGTAAACAAATGAGGGCATAACAAATGGGTTTAACTTATTTGATACAACATTTTCCCCATTTATAATTGCTGTTGTTATATTTAGTTACAATTAAAGTGAACATATGCAAGTAGGAATTTTTATTTTTTTGTTGATTTCTAGAGATTATTTA